AAAAGAGGCTTGTTAAAGTTTTGAAGAATCTCATGAGAAGGGACAAAGAAAAAATGAAAAATCAAGTTCTGCAACGTTATTTGAATGGACTAAAGATTAAGATTGTTGGAAGGAAAAGGAAAGAATGTAAAGTTGGCTTATTTGATCAAGATTAACAGATATGTTGTCATTTCTGGTGATCCTAAATGGACTTTTGCTGACACCAGGACTGAAATGACGATGGTTTATGGATTTGTTTATAGATAAGAGATGGGATATGGGAAGAAGAGATGTATTTGCTGTATTTTAAGAGAAAGTGATAAGTTACTAAAATTGTTTATACTTGTGATAAAGGTTGGAAGTCATTTCTCTATATATTTCTTTTCTTTTTCTTTACTATGTTTTTACTTTTCTATTTCTCTTTCTATTTTTTCCTCTTTTCTACACCTTCTACTCTTCCTTTTTATTCTTCTATATTTCTTTTAGTTTGTATTAGTATTTACTATTGTAATTATGATCTTTAATAAAATTACTATTAAAAAAGGAAAGATGCTGTATTAACTGGTATTCATCTGTACATACTGTGGGAAATGGGGCAGCACAGACTTGCTATATCAGGAAATGGTAACTTAGGATGTAGGATGCTAATGCTTTCTTAAGATAATTGCAAATTGCAGTGCAAGATAGTGTTAGAAAACAAGTTTGTGGCTGGTACAGAATCAGAAACCTGAGAAAAGACGAGGTGAGTTTGTCTACTATTACTACCATGGCTTGTGGGAAGGAAGGGCCTATAGAGAAACCCGCAAAATAGGCATGTACCCAAAGTGGAGCATATGCTGGGGCCTGTGATACCCTTGACAAATTTCCTGTTTTCTTCTTTTTCAAACTAGCCTTTCTCCTATCCTTTTTTGGCGGGGAGGGGAAGGAGGGGTTCCTTCCTACATAAGATGTAATGCTGGGCAGTATTTAAAACAAAAAAAATGCTGGGGTCACAGAGTGTCCCAGTATATCTTAAATATCTGAAAAATGTCATCTGATTGCAACAAGTCACCGCACATGCTCCAAACCAGGTTTTTTTTTTACTTCCAGCATGATATAATTAGACCCTGGAGACTCTGAAATAAGGCTGTGCCATGTGCCAGGATTTACGTTAGAAGGAAAAATTGTTTATCTTAAAAAGTATGATGTGTAAAGTTTGAAGATGATTCATCTCAGCTGAACCTTGTTCTTCCTATTGCATAAACTATATAGACCAATCGTGCTCTGGCTTAGCAAATAAATATATGCAGCAGTGAATAATTCTCATTTTACAGCGACACTTTCCTTTTTTGGTATTCATGTTTATAGCCTGATATAAACTGGATCTGGTTTGCCTATGATGTACTTTACACTCGATGTTTAGCTAAAATATCACACCACTGAAATAGCAGCAACATTTTGAAACCACACCATATAAATATCATTGCTATAGTGATAACACCATATTAAACATGTGCGCTTCCCAAATATTTTAAAGACTGTTCTTCCAATCTTATTTTGCTTTTCCATCCTTTGCTTGGAAAGTGGAACAGCAAACCTGTTGCCAGGACAGGTGTAGAAATGCTATATGGAACATAGGATACTATGAAACGTTTTTTAAAAATGAAGAAAATGTTGCTGATGGGAAAAGAAAAAAAAATAGGTTTGGGATAATGATTCTTGTTATCCCTACCCTGCCCTCTCCCCATCCTTATTTAGCCTAATAACTTCCAGATATGTTCGATCAATTCTCAGAGCTCCCGGTCGGCATTGTCTGGCTGAGAATTGGGTTAATATGCAGCCCATCTGAAGGGCAGGTTAGGGAAAGCTGGTTAAAAAGTTGAATCCCTGAGAAAAAAGCTTTTCCTGGAATATTTGAGTCAGGTTTCAAAATGTAATTTTTAGATAATAGGTTTTAAATTAATTAGAAGACCCTCTTTATTACAATGCAAGTACTAAACAAAAAAACCCAACAGCCTGTAGAGAGAATGCATTGTCGTCTTGTACCAGGCAGGAGTGTCACTTCTAAAATGGTATCTGCTGATACTATTACCTAATAATAAACTGCCAGATCCTTTAGAATTATTGTGTGTGTTCATATGGAAAAAATTCTTGATTTATATCGTCAGCTCATTAAAAGTAAAGATTTTTGCGGAGTGGGTTGAAAGATAGCTATAGTGTCTCCACTAAGGGAAAGAGCACAAAGAACATGAAAACTAGCAGTCTGATTGTTATAAGCTTTTGAGAACTTCTGAGACATTGTTCATTTCCTGCCTAGACTGGTGTGGAATGTGGGGCTGTTTCCAGTCAGAGGAGAAAGGCTGGTCCTTTGTTCATGTGCTTGATTTCTCATGCCCTTCTTAACAGCAACATCAGATGGCTCTCTCTGCCCCTGCCCTAGATTGGGCAGGTGGTGATTGGAAAGACCAAAAAGGGAATAAGGAACTAGTTCCTGTCATAGTTCTGTCTACTTCTAGATGTGTCCTTCCAAATTTTAAAAGGAAGGAAACTGGAAACTATCCCAGGATGTTTGGGGAGCTAGTGTTGATCTTTGGACCAGAAAGAGTGCATATCTTTTTGAAATTCTATATTGTATCTGAGTTTTAAATTGGGGCTGTACCATTTCTTGAAGAAAGTAAGACTCAGTTGAGAAATATCCAGTATAATAACAGACAATTAAAACTAATCAAATCAAATCTTTATTAAGTCACAGACTAGCATAAATTAAAACTATGCCAATTGTCCTGTTACTTTCTCTGTTCCCACCCACTGCATTTGTGTCTTTAATCTGTCCTGTTTAACAGGTTACATAATTGCTCATTTTCAAATGTTATTCTTTATTCTGAACTTGGAGATGAAATTAATTAGTTGCTCTAGTTTCATAAGAATAATTTCCATCAACCTAAGGGATTGTATAGCTAATAGCAAGGAGAATTTATTGAAGAATAGAAAATGAGCTATCCAGCTGAATTATTTGGAGGCAGTTAGAGAGTTTTTTATAGTCCATGCGGTGGCGCAGCGGCTTAATGACACTGAAAGTTGCTGGCCAGAAATG